TTTAGAGACAGGGTCTCATTATGTTGCCCAGGCTTGTCTCAAACTCCTGGCCTCAAGCAATCCTCCTGCTTTGGCCTCATGAGTAGCTGGGATTTCAGGCACAAGCCACAGGCTCATTTCATCCTACACATATATTCCCAGGCTCATTCTTCTATTTTCATGGCTCCCAATACCTCATATTTTCTTTCTTAATCTCAGATCCCCAAGTGTCCTACAACTAACTAGACTTATTTACCTGGAACTATAAAAAAATGCCTCAAATTTAACAAGCCCCAAACTGAATCTCCCTCTAAAATCCTTTGGCCCTACCATTTTGTTTCGTTTTTGTTTTGTTTCTTTTGATTAAATTGCCCAAACTCAGAAACCTAAATTGCTTTTTTATTGTTTTACTTTTTACTTATTATGTCACCTGCAATAGGAAACCTAAATTTACCTTCACTCCTTCCTTTCCTTGTCTCCTCTAAGTATGTCCAAGTTTTATTTTATTTTATTTATTTTATTTTATTTTATATTTTGAGACAGAGTCTTGCTCCGTCCCCTAGGCTGAAGCACAGTGGTGTGATATTGGCTCACTGCAACCTCCGCCTCCTGGATTCAAGCGATTCTCCTGCCTCAGCCTCCCAAGTAGCTGGGGTTACAGGCATGCACCACCATGCCCAGCTAATTTTTGTATTTTTAGTAGAGACGAGGTTTCACCATGTTGGCCAGACTGGTCTCGAACTCCTGACCTCAGGTGATCCACCAGCCTCAGCCTCCCAAAGTGCTGGGATTACAGGCATAAGCCACTGTGCCTGGCCAAGTATGTTAATTCTATCAAAGAAGTGTCTCTGAATTCCCTCCCTCTGCTGCCCTGCTCTCCTTCACCACAGCAGTAATTCAGCCCCTAAACCACTCCCTAATACTCTATCTACTTCAACTTCCTCCTAAATAATCACCCAGCTTCCAGTATTCTCCCATCCAGGCATTTCTGATCTGTTTTTCAGGTGGCCACAAGAACAATCACGCTAAAACAGATCTGATCACTTCTATTCGTGAGAAACTTCCACTAGTGTCCCACTGAGCTTAGACATCTTAACATACTATAAGAGACTCTTCTCAACCAGATCAGCCCACCTTTACAGCTTCATCTCTAGCTGCTCTCTCAGAGACCATAAACCAATAAGGGCCATGTACAGCTCACATCCATACTTTTGCTAGAAATAAAAAATCTGGCCAGGCGCAGTGGCTCACACCTGTAATCCCAACACTTTGGGAGGCTGAGATGGGCAGATCACCTGAGGTCAGTAGTTTGAGACCAGCCTGACCAACATGTTGAAACCCCCTCTCTACTAAAAATATGAAAATTAGTCAGGTGTGGTGGCGGACGCCTGTAATTCCAGCTACTCAGGAGGCTGAGGCAGGAGAATCACTGGAACCTGGGAGGCAGAGGTTGCAGTGAGCCGAGATCGCGCCATTGCACCCCAGCCTGGGTGACCGAGCAAGACTCTGTCTCAAAAAAAAAAAATCTTCCCCTCTCCAAGCAGAGCTGCTTCCTCCTCTGTAGTCTTATAACACTTTAAACAGGCTTAGATCATGGTACAATGTGTTATTAATGTTCATTGTTACATTAAAAAACTATTATAAATAGCAGGTAAGTTTGTGACTCTGAAGCAAAAACACCTGGGTTTAAAATCCAAGTTGGGGGCAACCCGCTCGGGTCCCCTTCCACACTGTGGAAGCTTTATTCTTTTGCTCTTCGCAATAAATCTTGCTGCTGCTCACTTTAAAAAAAAAAAGAAAAAGAAAAAAAAAATCCAACTTGGGTGACCATCCCTGTTTATTCATCTACAAAATACAGACAACAATTTGTATAGGGTTTTATGAAGATTAAATTATGAAACAGAAACTGCTAGCAAAATGCCTAGAACACAGAAGGGGCTCATCAAATGCTGGCTACCATAATATCATCTGCCCTTCAAGGCTATGGGCTATTCAAGGGCTAGAACTCAAGGGCTGGAACTCAGTTTCATTCACTTTTCCTTTTTTTTGAGACAGGGTCTCATTTTGTCACCCAGCCTGGAGTGCAGTGACACCATCTCTCTCAGCTCACTGCAGCCTCGACTTCCTGGGCTCAAGTGATCCTCCCACCTCAGCCTCCCAAATAGCTGGGACTACAGGCGTGCACCACCACACCCAGCTAAGTTTTGTATGTTTTTAGAGAGGGGGTTTTACCATGTTGCCCAGGCTGGTCTCAAACTCCTTAGCTCAAGTGATCCTCCCCCCTCAGAATCCCAAAGTGCCCAGATTACAGGCGAGAGCCACCATGCCCAGCCACATTACACTGTACTAAATAGTAGACTTCAAAAGATGAAAAATGAAGATAAAATAGAAATGTAAACAATAAATTACCCCCCAAAAAAATCAGGAAAGGGCCGGGCGCAGTGGCTCACGCCTATAATCCCAGCCCTTTGGGAGGCCGAGGCGGTGGATCACGAGGTCAGGAGATCAAGACCATCCTGGCTAACACGGTGAAACCCCATCTCTACTAAAAATACAAAAAATTAGCCGGGCATGGTTGCGGGCCCCTGTGATCCCAGCTACTCGGGAGGCTGAGGCAGGAGAATGGCGTGAACGCATGAGGCAGAGCTTGCAGTGAGCCAAGATCGTGCCACTGCACTCCAGCCTGGGCGACAGAGCGAGACTCCATCTCAAAAAAAATAATAAAATAAATAAAAAATAAAATCAGGAAAGGGATAGAAAATAGATTTGTAAATCAGACTCCGAATACTGAACAAAATTTCAACTAAAATTTTCCCTTTATTTAAAGATGAGGGCAGGGAGCTGTGGCTCACGCCTGTAATCCCAGCACTTTGGGGGACCGAGGCTGGTGGATCACCTGAGGTCAGGAGTTTGAAACCAGCCTGGCCAACATGGTGAAACCCCGTCTCTACTAAAAATACAAAAAGTTGCCAGTGGTGGTGGACATCTGTGATCTGAGGCGCCCACCCAGGCTGAGGCAGGGAGAATTGCTTGAATCCAGGAGGTGGAGGTTGCAGTGAGCCGAGATCATGCCATTGCACTCCAGTCTAGGAGACAGAGCAAGGCTTCATCTCAAAAAAAAATATATATATACAAAATAAAAATAAAGAGGGGAAGGGAGCATCCTTAGATACAATTAAATGGACCTCTAACCTAACTGCATTTTCATCTAATCGTCACACCCAGAACTGGCTAAATTTTGTATATTCCAGAAAATGTGAGTACAGATTAATAGCACAGCCTTTACTTGAATTCAGAAGTTCTGACACTTACTAGCCATATATCTTCAGCAACCTTGAATTCGTGATCTCCAAATGAGGATAATGAGGAATAATAAGATAATGTACGCAGAAAGTACTTAGCATATTGTATGACACAGAATAAGCATTCCGTGAATTTTATATGTTATAATGATGGTCCTTAAATCTTAATGTTCATAAATCATGGTATATACATAGAATGGAATACTATTTTTAAAACTTAAAACACAAGGCAGTTCTATTAATATGAAATTGATATGGTATTGATATGGAATGATCTCCAAGCTACTAAATTTAAAAAGAAATTAACAATTAACAGAATTAACTGCTGTATACACAAAACAATGTGTACAGCATGTTACTACTTCTATTTTTTTTAAACGGTTAGCTCTATATGTATATGCTTGTACATACGCAGAATGTCTCTGGAAGAATACATAAACTAGTATCAGAGATTGCCTCTGAGGAGAAAAACTAAGCAGCTAAGGGATAGGGATAGAAGAAAGCCTTACATTTTGCCATATTCTTTCTTGCACCTGTTGAAATTTATACTATTTGCTTTTATTGACTACCAAAAACGAAAAATAAAATTCATATTATAATCCACAGCTTACACTACCAGAATATTCCGTTATACATTTATTTATTTATTTATTTATAATGACTACTCCAGCAGATCAGGGCTACCCCCTAGGCAGTGTGTGGAGCCCATTCCATTATACTAAGTGCATTATGCTAATCTTTCGATAAAAACGTAAGGTGATGTAATCAAAGTTCTAGTATTAATTTCAACTGCATTGATGATAAGGGTCAAAGATTGTCATATTTTTAGCTAAATTAATCAATAAGAATCTATTTATTAAGGTATATACTTTATTAAGGTCATCAATCTATTAAGGTATATTACAGGGGTTGCTTGAATTTGAGAAAAAGGAAAACAAGTATGTGGATCAGGGAGACAATGAGAATAATTTCATTCATTCATTCAAAAATCATATTTGCATATCAGGTACCACTCATTGCGCTAAGTGCTTAGGAAACAATGACACAATGTCCTTGCCTTTGAAAAACGTGCAGTTTAGTGCGAGTATATGAATACAGCAGTAAAACTGGCACTCTTGACTTGGTTACTCAGAATATACATTCATTCATTCACGAACATATAACTGAATGAAGGAAGCCAGGGAGAAGGAAAGCCCGGTGACAAAATAATTCCACTGAAGCCTCTAGTGACTTTAAAAGAACACCAAGAACCGATCCCTAAATCTGAGAATGCGTGTGGACCTTCTTTCCCAGAATCACGAGAGACAGCAGGGCCTGCAGAGGTCCCAGGCGCGGCTCTTCCTCCAGTGCCCGTAAGTCACCAGCCCCGAGAGCTTGGAAAACGCAGAGGGTAGGGGTCCCCAGGCCCCAACCCCACACCTGCATCACTGCAAGCCAGGCACTCCCACTGGGCTCAGCTCTCTAAATGTCCCGGAGGGAAGAAACTCTGAGTCGACCTCTGACCCTCAAAATGAAAGTCACTCAGGGTTATTTCCCTCAGTGCTCAGGGCTCATTCACAGACAGTATAAAAGGTCAAGAGAAATGGAAACACCTCTCGAGGAGCCCTTAGCTTCGTGAAAGCAGGAGACACCTGGGGTAGATCGGACAGGGAGGGTGACCCCAGAGCCTTCTCCAGGCATATGCAGTCGGCTCGGACTACTCATGGCACAGTCACTGACCTTTCCAAAGGGGCTTCCCAGGGGCGGTGGCCAGAGGAGCGAGAGCGGCGGCCCGGGCCCCGCACCCAACACATCTCCCTCTCAGCGGGCTCTGTGCTAAGGGGCGCAAGGTAACCAAGAGCGACCAGGAGGCCGCCATCTTGAACTCCGTACGAGGCGAGGAAGAGGAAAACTTTATTGAAACCCAAGAGAGACGGTGGCAAAGTCAAATCTCGCCGTGCACGCTGAAGGCTCCACCCGACAGGACCAAGGGATCAGTTAGGGAACGTGACCTCCAGTAGCCAGATGGGCGGGCTGCACTCCCGTGCCCTCCCGTCCTTCCGGACGCTGCCAGCCGGGACTACGACTCCCAGCATGCAGTGGGGCGGGGCGGAACGGAACGGAACGGGCAGCTCCAGTCTGGGCAGCTGGAGGGAGGGTGATTCTCCACTCGGCGCTGGCGGCCTAGGAACCCGAAGTTTTCAAGGAATTGGGAAGTGATTATGACGGGTGGGCAGGTAACCACTCTTGAGCCTTTTAAGTTAGCTCACATGACCGAGATTCCGAAACCTGAATAAAATGGAGGTGACCCAGTGGGCCCTCGGGTTTTAACGCAATAGTGATGTCACTTCGTCACACCTCCCTAAATGGTAGGCCCATTTTTTATTTTACCCTCAGCGTCCAACTCATCTTTGACGAGTACCTGAAATGTGTGCGTACCGTTTTCCCTTTTCGTATTTGAGTAATCTAAATGGTACGCACTCAAATGTTTTGAAAGAATGTGTAAGTGGCATGGGAAAGCCAAGGGCCTAAGAAGGACTGTTGGTGGACTGAGAAGTCATGGGACAGTGTATCCGAAGGGTAACTTCTCATTGATCAGCCCTAATTTGATTAAACAATACATGCTTTGAGATACTATAATAAGGGAATTAGGAGTACAAATTGCTCTCCAGAAGAGGCTGGCAATCCAGTAAGCGAGATGAATTCCAGAAAAGATAATACAGGCCAGGCTAGGTGGCTCATGCCTGGGAAGCCAAGGCAGGAGAACTGCTTGAGCCCGGGAGTTTGAGACTAGTCTGGGCAACATAGCGAGATCCTGTCTCTGCAAAAAATACAAAAATTAACTGGGCATGGTGCCTGCGCCCTGTCGTCCTAGTTACCAGGGAGGCCGAGGTGGGGTTGCGTCCCGGAGGTGGAGGCTGCAGTGAGCTGGGATTGTGCCACTGCACTCCTGCCTGGGAGACAGAGTGAGTCCCTTCTCAAAAAAAAAAAAAAAAAGAAAAAGAAAGCCAGGCGCCGTGGCTCACGCCTGTAATCCCAGCACTTTGGGAGGCCGAGGCGGGCGGATCACAAGGTCAGGAGATCGAGACCACGGTGAAACCCCGTCTCTACTAAAAATACAAAAAATTAGCCGGGCGCGGTGGCGGGCGCCTGTAGCCCCAGCTACTCCGGAGGCTGAGGCAGGAGAATGGCGGGAACCCGGGAGGCGGAGCTTGCAGTGAGCCGAGATCGCGCCACCGCACTCCAGCCTGGGTGACAGGAGCAACTCCGTCTCAAAAAGAAAAGAAAAGGCCGGGCAGTGGCTCACGCCTGTAATCCTAGCATTTTAGGAGGCTGAGGCAGGCGTATCAACTGAGGTCAGGAGTTCAAGACCAGCCTGGCCAACATGGTGAAACCCCGTCCCTACTAAAATACAAAAATTAGCCGGCATGATGGCGGGTGCCTGTAATCCCAGCTACTTGGGAGGCTGAGGCAAGGAGAATCGCTTGAATCCGGGAGAGGGTGGCTGCAATGAGTCGAGATCGCGCCACTGCACTCCAGCCTGGACGGCTGAGCGAGACTCTGTCTCAAAAAAAGAAAGAAAAAGAAAAGAGAAGAGGAGGGTAGGGAAAGGGGGAGGGGAGTGGGAGGGAGCAAAATAAAAAGGTTTTTAAAATAAATTTTTAAAAAAGATAATTCAGTGTTGTGGAATAATGAGAGAGCAATTTGGCTAGTAAATCAAAAAGGACTTCTAAAAGCTCATTTTTTTTTTTTTTTTTTTTTAAAGAGAAGTGGCCTCACTATGTTGCCCAGGCCCAAGTGCTGTGGCTATTCACAGACTCCATCATTGTGCATAGCAGCCTTGAACACCTGAACTTACATGATCCTCCTGCTTCAGCCTCCCCAGTAGCTGGGACTACAGGTGCCAACTACCATCCCAAGCTTTAAACGCTTTTTTTTTTTTTTAATTTTTAAAAACATGGAATACTTCACGAATTTGTGTGTCATCCTTGCACAGAGTTCGTGCTCATCTTCTCTGTATGGTTCCAATTTTAGTATATGTGCTGCCAAAGCAAGCACTACAAGCTTAACTTTTAAGAGATAAAGACCTTCCAAGAACAGAGAATAGAGTGAAATAAGGCAGGCAAGAAAGTCTGGAGTATAGGAAGGAGAAAGTTCAGCTGTGTGAAAACAAATGAAAAGACTACTCTAAGAAGAATTCCAGGAAGTCAGGCAGTTAATCCACACTAGAAGAGGAATTCCAAAGAAACAAGAAAGAGAAACTGTAGCATGGCCTAATAATTTAGAGACGTCTCCACCAACTTGGTCAAATCATTTATAGAAAAAATTATTTTGATTGTATCTGTCAAAATAAGCCAATTTACACTGACTATTTATCTTCTATCTGTAATTCCACGACCTGGCATGACAAACTGTTCTTCCATACTGTGGTGATTTTTTTTTATTTTGTTGCTAATTTTTGGTGTGACACTTTATGAAAGACCTTTTGAAAAATCTGATTGTTTCTCCCTTGACTTGAATATGTATTTATCACACTCAAAAGACTTTCAGAGAGTATTTAGATTTCATTATGTTTGCCCGAAAAATCACTTGCCTTGGCCAATGAAATTATCCTTTATTAGAAATTCCAACAGCTTAATTATTATGGAGGTAATATAAGCACTCATGGATAATTTAATGCCAAAGGAGACCTACAGCAAATTTTCACATGGTTGTGCAAGTAGACAGAAACATAGGAAATCAACTTTATTTTATACAAATGTAAGCTAATTTAGAGGGAAATAACTTAGATTAACTTAATAACTTAGATTGTAATTGATGTATTCAATTATATTATAACTGATGTAGTCAAGAGAATGACCAGAAGACTAAGTAGCCATTGTAAACCATTTTATTAAAACATTAATCCTGCTGTTCCTGCAATTCCTAAAACAAATTAAACAAAATAGCCTGAAAAAAATTTTGAACATTGTCAGGAAAACTATTTGAAATAAGTCATAAAATTATGAGGTCTTTTCTTGTCCTTATTTAAAAAATCTTCCTAGAGAAAATGGCAAGTAGCTCTGGCATCTAATATTAAGGATAAAACCAAATTAAAAGAGTCAGAGAAGGACAAATACAATGAAAGAAATGAGAAAATAAGAAAGAAAGTGGTCAATAGAAAACATACTGAGTCAGGAGATATATTTGAGCTCTGATTTTGTCACTAATTCAGGTTCTCTTTGTTTTTCTTTTCTTTTCCTTTCTTTTTTTTTTTTTTTTTTCTTGAGGCAGGGGCTTGCTCTGCCACCCAGGCTGGAGTGCAGTGGTAGGATCTCGGCTCACTGCAGCCTTCACCTCTCTGCTTTAAAAGGGCAATCCTCTCACCTCGGTGTCCCGAGTAGCTAGGACCACAGGCATGTGCCACGATGCCCGGATAAAATTTTCACATTTTTTTTAAAGACAGTGTCTCCCTATATTTCCCAGGCCCCTCAAATGTTCCTTCCACCTCAGCCTCCCAGTATGCTGAGGATACAGGCTTGAGCCACCACGCCCAGCCTGTTTTTCTTATCCATAAAATTAGGGTGGTTTCTGTATTAGCTATCTCACAGGCTTTGTGAGAATTAAATGAGATAATATATACAGTATACACAAACTGTTAATCAGAAATGATTGTAAATAGATATTGAGAAGAATAATGTCAAAACCTAAAATAAGGAACAGGCCCAGCACCATGGCTCATGCCTATAATTCCAGCACTTTGGGAGGCCGAGGTGGGAGCATCACTTGAGGCCAGCCAGCCTGAGAAACATAGCGAGACTGCATCTCTATTGATTGATTGATTGAGACAGGGTTTCACTGCAGCTTCTTGTCTTCCAGGCTCAGGTGATCCTCCCACCCCAGCCTCCCTGGTAGCTGGGACTATAGGTGCACACCACCATGCCCGGCTAATTGTTTTGGTATTATTAGAGAGAATTTTGCCATGTTGCCAAGGCTGATAAACTCCTGGGCTCAAGTGATCTGCCTGCCTTGGCCTCCCGAGGTCCTGGGATTACAGGTGTGAGCCACCTTGCCTGGCGAAAAATTTTTTTTAATAAAATAAAATAAGGGCATGCCTAGGACAACATAGATTCATGATATCCAAGAATCATAGAAATAAGGAATGCATCTAACCTTGAAAATGGTGCAAACAAAATTTTTTTTGAGGGAGGGTCTCACTCTTGCCCAGGCCGGAGTGCAGTAGCGTGATCTCAGCTCACTGCAACCTCTGCCTCCTGGGCTCAAAAAATCCTCCCACCTCAGCCTGCTGAGTAGCTGAAACTGCACGCATGCCTCACGAAGTCCTGGGATTACAGGTGTGAGCCACTGTGCCCAGAAGAAATTTTTAAGTAGAAGAAAGTGCTACAGAACATCAAGTAGCAAATTTATAAAACTCATTCAAGGAAAAGAAAAATATTTTTCAAGTACGATCTAAATAAATGAGATGGTAATCCTAAATAAATGTGGGTGATTGGGATTTTCCATTTCCAGGTTCATGAGGTTGCCATTTTAGAGGATGCCACTGGGCCATTGACAGAGACAGACTGCAGATGGAATAGGCCATTGGCATGAAGCAGCCAAAATACCATTTCCTCATACTATTGTTGTTCCTCTTCTTATAGCCACCTCCTTAGGGAGGAAAGGACCTAGTAATTGATTCCCACTTCCATCACTTCGTCCATAGCCTTCTTCATCTCAGTAGATGGCAACACTGGCCTTCCAGTAGGTCAAGCCATTTATCACAGGAATCATCCTCTGCTTTCCCCATTTACTCTCACCTTACAGCCAGTCCTTCAGTGAATTTTGTCGGCCTTGTCTTCAAAATTATCCAGAATTCCATCATGTTTCACTGCCAGTACTGCTACCACCAGCCCCGATCCAAGTCACTATCATCTCCCTCCTGGATTATTGCAGTTGCCTTGTCACTGGTCTCCTTGCTTTCACTCTCAACCCGTACAGTTTGTTCTCCACACAGTGGAATTGTCTTTGCAAAAATTAAAACTGTGAGAAAATTATGACAGTGAAAGAGATCTGACTGACTTGATCTTGCTTCTAACCTCCAAGC